CACACATTGTCAAGATACTATCAAGTTATATCTGCATAAAGTTTTTTGAACCTTTGGTCAAACTCTTGGCTATTATCCAATATCAACCTTATTTGATAGAGAAATTAAAGTCCATTAAAATGGCATAGTTAATAACCTAATCCTAGTTCTGCTTTTTCTGAACCCCAAACTCTGTTTAGTCCTTACTGACTCATTCCTCAACAAATATATTAAACAGTTGCTAGTTTCACCCAAATCACGGTGATTGCCTGAGAAAGAAAATTGATTCCCTGTCCTTAAGGCACTTACAGTCTAGTGGAGTCAACAGTGTAAGAATGCTCTGAAAGATGAAATCCAGCATTCTCAGGAAGCAAATAAGACAGGCATCTGTCTCAGGAAAGGCACATCCGAAAGTATGGCACCCCAGGAGGATGACAACTTACTTAAGGATAAAATATGGAGAAATTTAACAGATTTCAGTTGGGGGTGGGTGCTGAGGAGGAGGAACATGGTCCATTCCTAGAAGTGAAAGTTAGGTTGGAATGAGAAGAAAGAACAATGGGGAGTCAACCAGGCATCCTGAGTAGCCTTGGGTTCCAGTGTAAGGGCTTGGATTGCATCTGGAAGGCACATAAAGGCGCTGGAGGACTTTAAGGGGAGAGCAGAAAGGTCAGTTATAATCCAGCAAAATCACTCAGGGCAAGGTGTGAGAGAGGGAATAAGAGACATAAACTGGGGAAAAGAACAAAAATAAGAGTAGGCTGCAATAATAATAGTAACACCATCCTTCATCCTCGGAAACTGAGACGTGGAGAGTTTCAGCAACTTGCCCAAAGTCAGTGCCAGTGAGAGGAGAGGTGGCATTTGAACCCAAGCCACCTGGTCCAGAGCCTGTGTCTTTACCGCTATTTAATGCTCTCCTGTGGCTGCGGGTTATGAAGAAGCCATGAAATAAAATAACCATCATGGATAATACAAGAAGAGACTATGACTACACTATCAAAATCATTTGGTAGTTTTCTGTTGCTTTCTTACAAAAAGAGCTGTGTATGTAGCTCCAAACAAGCATAAACCACCAACACCCTTGAAAGGCTCTAGGGACAGAAATAAGGACAAAAGAGAAAAAGTAAAAGAGCTTCTTAGTTCACCAGGAACTGATATCTGACCTTCATCTATCTGAGACTCCCTGAGAGGTCCCAGGGTCAGGAAATGGAAGTAGAGATGGAGTTGCTTCTCTGAAGTTAACGTACCTAATGATACGCGGTGACATGTAGCAGATACTGGGACTTTGCCAGTTTTTTTGCTAAACATCACCAAATTAGCCTCAAAAGTCTCTTCACACAGATTCACACCATTAGTGTTGCATTTGCTGGATGGTGGGGGTAGGAGGCATATAAGAAGGTAACGTCTTTTAAAAGCAGTCCAGCACATTACAGCAAAATCAATACTATAAAAACCCCTCTCTCCAATTCAGTTTTCTCCCTTGAAATTCTTCTAATTGCCCTGAAGAAGATAAGACTGCTGACTGGTTAATATTTTAAGTGATCACCTCATTGGAAGTATTACCCCCCTGGGCCTGAGAAACCCTACCTCAGAAACACATTGACATAATAAGGGCTATGAAGTGACTGCCCAGAAGCAATGAGTACAAACTGCCTTTTGCAAATCACTAAATGGTTCGATGTTATCCTCAATGATCCTTCCCCAAATGTCTGGTTGTCGATGTCAGGAGGCCCAGGATTGCTTTATGTTTACGTTAGCACATTTTTACAGGGTAAGTAACTTGCTATTACCATTGAATTAAAAGTAGAGTACTCTTGCATAGTGATTATACTTGGCACTGCTATTACGCTGAAAAAAAGGGAGAAATTAAAGTTAGATTCTTATTCTCTTGTCTCCTGAAGAATGCAATGAAAGGACAGAAAACCATCTCATTATAACTGGAAAATTAATCACATCAAATATTCTCTTATACTAATCAGGTTATAAGTCTGGAATCAGCTTATGCAAAACAGATGTTTACATTCTTATTCTCCTTTGGTACTAATGTCAAGAGAAGAAATCACAGAATAACTAGGCTGTGGCCTACTTTAGGGAATGCAACACTCTGCTTTTACTTTTTTTAGGGAAGCCACAAAGCCTGGGGGAAGCTGGGGGGACAGCCTGAAAGGGGAAAAGCACCAGGGGTCCTGGCTTCTATTCCTTATATAGGCAAAATTCCTTTCTTCTGTAATGGCACAGGAAATGTGCTGCCTAAGAATGGTGAACTGGCTCCCAGGAAGAGGGAGAGGACACGGGAGACATGCGACTGGCAGCCTGTCCCCTTTGGCTCAGCTGGTGCCCTAGTTCTCTAGGGCTTGTGATTCTGGCTTATGTTGCAGTTGCCCAAGACCAAGGACCTTGGTCTTCAGTACATGGGCCTGTGCCTAGTGGCTAGCCTGTGTGCTACTGGCAGGTGGTGGAACTAGGAGGTGGGGTCCAGCAGACAAAAGTTAGGCCACATGCCTTCAAAGGGAATGTTGGCATCCTGGTCCCTTCCTGCTTCTCTCTTTGCTTCCTGGCCTCCATGAAGTGAAGAGCCCTACTCTTCCATATACTCTCACCACAAGACAATGTGGACCAGAACAACAGGGCCAAGCAACCATCCGCCAAAATAATCCTTTCCGTTTTTTAAGTTGATTATTTCAGGTGTTTTATCACAGTAACAGAAAGCTTACTACAACAAGAATCTTCATTTAACGAAGAGAAACCAGGTCTGGATGGTGACTTGGCCAACATCTAACAAAAAAAATTTGAGATAATGTTGGAAGTATATTTTGGGCTTGTAATTATCCTTTTTTCCACCTCATCAGATATACTAGCCAATATTGAGTGTTTACTAGGTCCCAGGCACTATTTCAAGAACCTAGTATGTATTAACACATTGAATCATCTTTAATCCGAATTCTAAAGCTACAGGGTAATCAATAGTAATCCTCATTTCATAAAAGAAATTGAAGATGAAATTAACCAAAAGGTTGGATCAACTGTCCAAGTTTTCACAGCTCACCCTTCCCTTGTTCACTATTATGCTCCTTTTGCCTCTAATCTGGATTTCCCATATCATTTTACAGTAAAATTGAAAATTCTAATAGAGTCTTTTTGAAATAGACAATGACTTTATAATTATCAAGATTCATCATTAATCTGATATTTATTCTATGGTGACCTTTTCAAAGAAAATGACACTGTAGTTTTCATTTCACTTCCTTTGAGAATCATCCTTGAGGCATTCTTTGGACTTAAATGGGCCTCTCCTTCCAGGAGCATTTTTCTGTGCTTTCTTTCTCATTAATTATGAATTCAAGCTAAGTTTATATTTTTGCCACAATACCATGAAATAATTGAGAATACGGTTTGTGTTTTGCTCATTTTTATAAACATGTAGGGTTTTATTCATTTTTATACAGTAGTGACTCAATAATGCTTCTTTTTAAATTTTTATTTATTTTTTAATTTTTTCCATGATTTATGGCTCATTATAGTTGTACATAATGGTGAGATTTCTTATTATATATTCATACATGCACACAATATAACAATATAATTTGGCCAATATCATTCTCCATTATTCAATAATGCTTCTTTAATGAATTCATTATGATTAGCAATAATGGTGATAATAATAATTGCCATCTGAATACTTTATAACACACTCTTAGCACTTACGTATAATATGTCCACAGACCCATTTGATATTTACACCAACCATAAATATTTAAATAAATAAATATACAAGATAAATATTTCTATAACCATTTCAAAGATGAGCAAATGAGACTCAAAATGACAAGCAATTTGCCCAATTGTATCAGTGGTATGTGGAAGGTCAGTAGTAAAACCGGATCTTTCCAATACAATCCATTGCCATCATGCAAAATAATTTTGTTATTGGCCTACACATGACATTTGTAGAAAAAAATGTATTTTGTAGAGCATATCATTATAAGTCCCAAATAATTTTTTAAATCATCTTGTTTAGGTAAAACATCATTACTTAGCTCCAGGTACATAATCAAAATGCCACAGAAGTGAGGGCAATTTAGAATACTGTAGTTAAAAATAAAATAAAATAAATCCTCTTTAAAAAAAACAAAAACAAAAAATAACCAAAGGAACAGTATTACACTGTAAATATCTAAGCATTTATCTGTTTGTTAGGAGGCAATATATATTATTGCCTATGATCAGTTTCTGTTAACCATTAGGAGCTATTAAAGGGGCAAATCAATATTGTAATATTTGCACTTGATGCTGATTAAGAAATATGAAAAGGTGGTAAATACAATCCATTTTCTGTTTTCACTTTTATTCTAAACATGGAGTTTTTAAAAAGGATAAAACCTTTTTTCCCTATTTTTATTCTTGTCCCCCCCCCCTATTTTTCTTATCACCTTCCTGTGTCTTCAACATAGGAATTTCCCTGTGCTAAGGATCTAAATATGTGTGCAGAAAATCCCAGAAATCAGGGAGGAAAAGAGCTTTAAAAATCAGAAAAACACCTACTCTCCTAGACAGCTAGGAATCTGGCCTAATTTTAAAAAACAGAAGAAGAAATTCTAACTTCTTATCTTACATTCCAACATTCAGTAACTCTTTATCAGAATAGTTTCCCTATTTCTTCTAATATAATTTAAGACTGTTCTTGCTCTCTTTTCAGAAGAACTACAGCTGTTCACAAGTTTCCCCATACTTTTTTTTTATACCAATTAATGAAAGGAGAAAGGTGTTGGCTCTGATAATAACAAACTGGATTCATGCCCATTGTCTTTACCTTTCTTTCTTTTTTTTTTTTTTTTAAGAACCCAGTCCTACTTGAATCACATTAATCAAAAGATGGTGGATAACTCCTCTGAAGAAATAAAGGAATATATTATGAAAACCAATCTTCTTCCTTTCCTTCCTTTTTATTTTCAATTTATACAAGAAAAATCTAGATCTTTCTTTCTTTCTTTCTTTTCTTTTCTTTTTTTTTTCTTTCATTCATTAAAAGGTAGTCTCCTGAAGGCTGAGGTGATCCTGTGGATTAGAATTTGAATGACAGTATGAGTTCATGTTTGACTTCCTATGGGTAAATACAGACATGGGTACATATACAGATTAGTATTCTCATGTATCTCCTTGCTCTGTCAGCTGAGATGGCCTAGAAGTAATGCCACTCCAATAGTAATGAACACACTTGCTGTCCAAATCATGGTTTCTATTGCCAAGATTTTATTTCCAATAAAAGGAGTCAGGTTCCTTGCAGAAATGGTTGATTCTAAGGAGGGACCGGAAATAAACAACATGAGCCTGGAGTATCTTACAGATAAAAAAAATGAAGAAAATGCAAGAAATTAAAAAAAAAGACAACCCCCCACAGAAATAATATTGGGATATGTCAAAGGGACAGTTAATAGAACTCCTAGTGACCAAACCTGGAACAATTTGAGCAAAAAATAAATAAATGAGTATATTTAACAGCATTAAATTAGAACTCAAAAGTATAAATATATATTTACATAAGGATGTAATATATAAATGAATAAATAAGTAAATGAAGAAGACAAATCTCCCATATGAAAAAACTCCAAACAATACATGCAGAAACTTCCTGCTCAGAGAGATGGAGGATAAACCCTTACCTCTTAAATGTGGACTGCACATAGGGACTTGCTCCCAAAGAATACAGTAAAGAAGTGGGAAGAATAATCTTACAGAAAAATCTGGCCAACACTACCTTTGTCAAATGATCAAGGTCAATACTAACAATGACAAGTCTTGTTGATAGCATGTGTTGCTGATGTAATGTGATGAGAACAGCATCTCAGGTCTTCTGTGCAAGAGTACTCCCAAGACTTCTTGTCATAGCCTAGAGGAGCCTTGAATGTCATGTGGTATTCTAGAATGGAATAGTGGAATGGAAAAGAGAAAAACTGTAGAAGTAAATCAAGTACGGAATGTAATCAATTATTTATCACTAGTTGTAACAAATACACCATATTAGTAAGATGTTAGTCATATGGGAAACTGGGCATAGAGTATATGTGGACTTTTTATCCTTACAACTTTTCTATAAATATAGAACTATTGTAAAATTTAAAGTTTGTGCATAAAATATATCACAAAACAGCCCTAAAACATTTAAATGAGACACAAATATTATAACATCAAGAAATGCAAAAGATTTTAATTAGTCAATTGTCATCCATACAGTTACAAAAATGAAATAATTCACTGTAATTGATAAGCATATTTTATATGTAGAATAAAGTCTTATCCTTAGAAGACAGAACATCTGAAAGAAATCCTGTTTGGCCTAATGGAACTCAAATTGAAGACCTGTATACTGTATAACATAAATAAACACTGCAAATGTGTCCTAAAACAACACTATCACTGGTCATTGCCTTAGGGAAACCATCACCTTGAAAACAAGACTAGGAAAGGATAGTTTAGGTTTCTGAAAGAGTCATGGTTATGCATTTTTAAAAAACTATAATAAATTGCAACTGCTTCACTCAATCAGAAGAGAATGGTAATAAGACCAGTCATTAGCACATGGATCAGTTTATTTGACTATATTTGCTGACAAACTCCAGCCCCAAAGCGGGCTTCTTGCCTTGCAGCTGTAAATCAAAGTGGGGTAAGAGTGTGCTCAGATCAGCATAAACCCAAACCTTCCCTGGAAAAATTGCTTAAACAGAACATCATATCAGCAGAAGATCAGGTGCATTATTTTCTTATGGAACTTGACTTGTGTTAGCCAAGGGACAAGGAACCTGAGTGGAGGCAAAACAAGTTCTACTATGAATGACCCTAGGAGAAAGCTTTATTGAGAGTTGATGGTAAATTTCAGCCAAATCCTTCCATTTGCAATGAAGCTAATCCCTCAAATTTCAGTAGATGCACTGTTCTATATTTAAAGCATCTCCACAAATTTATTTTCCTGCAACTTATAAGCAGACCCAAACCAAACAAAAACAAAACAACTAAATATTGAGAGTGCATAGAAAAAGTTGTCTTCTTATTGCTCCTGTGGTTTATGCTTAAGGCCAGTTTTCTAAAACCAAATGTACAATGAACTATTAGAAGCATCAAGACTCATTCAATCCTCACCAAAGGGCATTCCTTAATGCTAAATATTTAGCTACATGCTGAAACTGAGAGTATAAAATTAGAAACATATTTAACAGATGTTAAAAAATAGACATTATGCCAACTAATTCAAACTATTAACATTGCTATCATTTTATATAACAAAATAATAATATAATTATACACCAAAATTGACAAAACAAGATACCCAGAAGATGCATATTGATTCATTATTTGTACATTACAGTTCTTTAATTTAGCCTTAAAAAAACTAGATTTTTTTCTGACTTTAGTTCTATAAAGTGACTAATTTAATTCAAGCAATAATTGATAAATAATATTTTAATTTTCCTAGCCTTACTTTTAACGAATCCCGTCTAGCCAAACATCTTTACCAATGTCAAGTAAACCTTGGGATTCAATGTCACATTAGGTAATAGCATTTGTTTTCTATTCATGCAAAACTACAGAAATTAAACTTCCTGATTTAAGGTTGCCCTAAATTGGTGGAAAGACCAGAAATTACTTTCCCAAATACCATGAGAAGTATTCAGAGAAACATGCTCAGAAATAACTGCATTCTACAAGAAAGAGAAATGTAAGAAGGTCTCATTCTACTCTGGGCCTCCACCTCAATCCTACATATGCCTATATTTGATCAGCATTTATTCACTCATAAGTTATTCAATGAATAATCATTGAGAAACTCCTATGTCAGACAATAAGGAAATGCCATAAAGATATGGTAATCCTATAGCTGCACTATAATCAGTTAATATCTAGAGTTTTTCTGGTATTAAAAATAAATAAGCTTAATTAATTTTTATCAGAGGTGCTAGAATTTTATGAATCAACACTGTGCCTTATCACTTTTCTACTCTTATTTGCCTGTGATAGAAAAATTTTATAGCCTAAGATCTCTACTGAATAGCCTAAGGTTTCTACCCATCTTTTTTTACTCAATGATTTCAGCTGAGTAGAGGTTCAGGGCAAGTGTGAAAACTAACATTGCCCTCTGCTGGCAGATTTCTCCAGTGAGAGGTCCTGGGCTTGCTTTGTCATTGTACCTTATTCTTCAGTCTTTGAGGATACATTTTGACCTTAAGAGTTTGTTTCTTCTCACAAATATTTGGATTCTTTCCGAAACAAAGTCCAAAATGTGTAGGCAATGGTGATTGGCGTCTAGTCAGCACCACCCAAAATAAGTATTTTTTAAAAATACAGCTCTACCCACATGACAGAGGGGCATTGTCACAACACAGCCCTTCAAAATTCAAGGATATGTGAATCTCATCTTATTGAACCTGAATGTCATTATCCAAGACTCTCCAGGCTCCTGTGAACCCAACAACTCTGAAATTTAAGTAGTCCTTACCAGCCCATCTAATACAATTATGTCTCTCTCTCTCTCTCTCTCTTTTTACCACTGGGGTGTATGAACTCCCCCCAGTGAAAATCTAGATGTGACTTGAGATTTGGTGGTGTGATTATCTCAGGGTATTTGATAATCAGGGGCTTGAATAATCCTATGTTAACATATTGACAGGATTTATGAAATAAGAGATTCTTGTTAATTGAAAAATTTTAAAACATACTTGGAAGTTGCTGCTATAATTCTTTATTGAGCCCTTCTGGTAAATACAGACAGATGTAAGAAGCTTTGGTCTTGTGCTCTTTGAAAGCAAGTGCTGTATACCATTGCTATTTAAGGAAGCTGAATGGATAACTAAATTGGTCCATTCTATTTACTGTTTTTATCACTTTAGGCCTATTTCCCAACAAATGCTTAGAGTAAAACAAAATATGGTTTGGTAGGAAGTGCTTGTGCTTTTGAGTTGGACAGACTTGGACTTCGATCCTGGCTTCGATAACCCAGCTGTGTAGTAGGAAGCCACCTAATCTCTCTTCCTATCCATAAAATGTAAAACATAATATTTTCTTCTTTTTGTTTTATGGATTCTATAATATGAAATATAATAAAATACTTGGGAAAATACCTGGCACATAGTGGGTATTTGAAAATTTGATTCTCTTCCCTTTCCTTCCAGATAAATTGCTAGTTTCTTTCTTTTTCGTCAGCACAATAGACCAAAATTAACTCAGGTCCATTTTGAGAAGTGAAAAGACTTTGTGGTAGTTACCTTATTTTTAGAGTTTCTGCTGAGGTCAAAAGAGGTAACTGGAAAAGGCAGTAGGGGAATTTATTTTACTTATCATCATTTTCCAATTAAGTGGAAAATTACAACACCTTCCATTAATGATTTACAGATTTTTGAAACGCTATAAAGTCTCTCACTTCACTCTCACATTAACTCCATTTTAAAGCTAAGGAAACTGAGGAGGGGGGGGGAAGGAACTACCAAAACTGGGGAAAGGAACTAGTAGCCTTGTGTTGTGACTTACCCAGGGATCACTCTGGACCCCATCCTGGGATGCACTGTAACTGTTCTCCTGGGGAGCTGCCATTACTGGCTCGCCAGTGCCCCCTGCCCTTCACTCTGGGCACTGCACCCTGGAATCAAGTCGTCTCCTGCTGCCCGTGGGACTGTGGTTTACCAGTTGAAAGAGACAAACAAGTCATGAGTCCTGAACTCATTTTTTTTTTTTTGGGGGGGGGGGGGGAAGGGTGTTGTTTTTTTGTTTTCTCAGTGACTCACAACAAGACATGTGGTGAGTTGTTTGGAATTAACTACTTTTCTAAGGTTTTATAAAGCCCGAATGCCCTTGGTGGTATTTTTAACAATTCTAGGGAAGTTCTCAGTTTATTTTCAACATTAAAGATGCTACAGAGAGTGTGAGTGAAATGGAAAAGATGAAGCTCTTGTCTGTAGGGCTACAGACTCCGAGTCTCCATTAGAAACAGCTGCGCCTGGAAGTTTTCGTCTGTGATTGCATTTATTGACATTCTTGTTGTGTTGCCAGTTCTAGCTGGTGGCCAGCTGTTCTCATCGTATTTTAATTAAAGAAACTCCCACACCATCAAGAAATGTTCTGTGCGAAGATGTGCAACACCTGTCTGCTGCTGTTTCTGTATCAGATCTAGCTCCATGTCTGCAGCTGAACAATATCATTAATTCTTACCCTTGCAGTCCCTCATCACTCCCCGCCCCCACAAAGCATTACTAATCTAGGATTCCTGTACCTTTAAGGAAAGTCTATACCCCTAAAAGTGTATGTAAGGTTGGGTTGTATACTTACCCAAGTATGAAGAGAGGACTCATAATTTCAACAGATTCTCAAATGGATTCATTATTCAGAAAAGAGATAAAGAAGGTGGGCTGTAGACAGGTACTCCTTTATGTTAATTTCCAGTAGAAATAAAATAGTTTTTTCCTCAGTCAACAATGGGGTAGGCTTCAAGGGGTAGTTGAGAGACTAAATTAAGGACAGACAAAACACAGGAAAGAAAAGCTAAGTACAAATTGTGTATCTATTAGCAATAAACAATAAATCAACTAGAAAAGTGTAGGTTATAAAACACAAAGCTTACCAGGATAATTTTTCCTATCTTATTCCACACACACCCACAATAAGTATATGGATAGACTTCTGGAAGAGGCTCGTAGAGAGGTAAAGATAGTCTTTCAAGGTCATAAGTTCATGCTGTGTTCAAAAGGAAAATGCATACCTAATTTTAATAAATAACTTACAAATCAGCTGATTATAATTTGCCGACATGTTCTGATTTTCTCTGCTCACCTTCCCATAAGCCAAGTGAAGCAGCTGGATTATAGCTATTGTCTATCACCCTTCCCCCTCATAGCGTAGAAAGGGTCACAGAAATCCTGAATTTGCTGTAATATGACCTACACAAAAATTGACACACTACTGACCAAATCACCAAGGCTATTCCCCCAAATTACCTTCAAGCTCAGAATTTAATAAGAAATATCATTTAAATGTCTACCCAAAGGCCCTCTAACTATATGAGACTTCCTCTGTGGTTTGATGTGAGTCCCAAATTTCATGTGTTGCATATTTAATCATGAAAGTCAGGTGTTGATGGTATTTGGACTGGAGTTCTTTGGGAGGTAAGTAGGATTAGATGAGGTCACGAGGGTGGGATGCCTATGATGGCATTTAGTGGCTTTATAAGAAGAGGAAGACAAACCTGAGCTGACATATACTCGCTCAGTCTTGCTCTGTGATACCTTCTGCCATGTTATCATGTAGGTAGAAGACCACCCGATGCTAAGCAGATGCTGATGTCATGCTCTCAGACTTCCCAGGTTCTAGAACTGTAGCTGAACAAACTTATATTCTTTATGAGTTACCTGGTCTTGGGTATTTTGTAATAGCAACAGAAAATGGACTAAGAACCTTGTCCCCACCTTCATCCTTCCCCTCTCTTCAACCCTCTTCTTGCTTTGCCTGTGCTCCCCATTCCTTCTTACCCTCATCTCCCACAAAAACCAGAGAACAATAAAAACATTAAGAGTGGACCTTCTCTGGGGGCAAAGAGCTCATTCAAGAATGACTTATATAGTAATTGAAGAAATATCCTTGAGTGTGTGGCCACAGTTTCTATGTATCATTTTGGTTGTCTTACTCTTATGAATCTATCAACAATTTATCATTTTTAAGAAAGACCTCATCACTAAAGCCATCTCAAATCCAATGCATGTCAATTTGGCCAGAATAGAGCCTCCTAGAAGAAAAACAATAGACCTAGGGGAAGGGAACTGAAAAACTCCTTTTTTTTTCCTCCTTCCACTGTGAAGGAAGTAAGACACTATTGCAGAAAGAAAGGCAAGTAAGAAAGCAGCAACAGAGGACACACACACACACCAGAGAGGGTGACATTTTGGTTGAAAAGACTAACTGGTAAAATGTCTACATAAGTCATGAAAGACCACTTTTAGCAACTTAGTTTTAGAAAAAACAAAAAAGTTACACTTGGCTCATTTCTAGTAAAATCCCAATTTCTTATCCCTATAGATTTATTAGTGCAATAATGGAGCACAACCAGGCAGTAAAAAGTTACTGCCTTGAAGAAAAAAGTTGGTTCTACAATAAAATTTGAAAACATGGTTTCTTTAATGCCTGAGGCACTGTTTCCAGAAGCTTATTTAGCCCAGTACTCTGTACCCATACAGGATATCAAAATTAAACTTCAAGTGAAAAATTTAATAAGGTTGATTTTGTAAAGAAAACTAGTTTAAGTGTGTGTTCTTGCTAGTCCCCCCATGCTAAGACTGATTCCAACAGCAATAAAAGTTTTCAATTTACTATGTGGTTCAGGACAAGTTAATAATTTGCTCTGAGTACTACTATATTTCTGTATTACTTCAAATCTAACAAAATTCAGTCAAGGTTTAAACAAAATTCATCAAGTGCTTGAAGAGTTCCTGAAATTCTCTCTCCTCCACAAAGACTCACCTGAGTAAGGTAAAGATTTCCTGTCCCCTAATCCTTTCTTTATTTCCTCAATATGATACTCAGAAGCATGATCTTGCTGTCAGTACTTTTAGGGAAATAATGGAGCTGATTCAGAGGGCCAAAATTAGGCAAAGCCCCTTTTTTCAAGAGAGTGGGGAATAGAAGAAGCAAAAGTACAAAATCTTTAAAGTTAACAACTACATATTACTTTTTTTTTTTTTTTGGCAGCATCTGGAATAGGGTTCATAACCTGCATGAATGAATAAATGAATTAATGGATGGATGGATGTATTAATGAATAAATGGAGGATTTATCAATTTAAATAGACCCTGAAAACCATATGTTAGGAAAAGATGACATTTACTTTTTTCTTTTTTTTGAAATGAGAAATAAGTTGACAAATTATGGTCCCTTAAAAACAAAAGAGAGACTGGATTCACCAAAAACAAATCATGTCTGGCTAACCTCACCAGGATTCTGTTCTAGGCTCTGTCCTGCTCAAGTTAGATCAAAGCTTTGCCAGCATGCTCATCAAATTCGGGAATGTCACAGAATTGGCAAGGGCAGCTAATACGCTAGAGAGCTCAAAGGAATAAAAAATGAACTGAAAACCACCCACTTAAAATTTTATAAGAGCAAATGTAAATGACCATATGTAAATTCATAAAAGTGATTTTAAAAATTTAAATGAGATCATCTGGAATTGATGCTATGAAAATTATGGTATGGCATTAAAAAAATAATGTACAGTCTTCAATTAACCATAAATCAGAATGAGGCAATAATGTGAAGTTAATGTAATTGTTAGTATTAAGAGAAATATCTATGCAGATCGTAAGAGGAAATGGTTCACTGTATTCTGCACTAGACAGAATCCATCTTGCCCTCTGGTGTGATATTGTAAGAGATGTTGAATGACTAGAGAGCTTAGAGAGTCACAGGACCAAGATGACTAGAGGCTTTGCAAGCATATTGTATGAAGAATATGTAAGAAATTTGGGGAATGCTAGCCTTCAGGTTTATTTTTATTTGTTTATTGGACCTCCAGGGTATCGAGTATAATAATCTTAATTCTTGATTTGTGACACATCACTGATCCATGAAAGTTTTATTTATTTTTATATTTGATTGTTTCTTCTCTGTTTTCGATAATGTAGTAAGAGCCCATGAACCTACTACCCAACAAGAAAACCAAAAACTTTGACAATAACTTCCTTCTATCACTGGCAGAGGACATGTATTAGTCAGATTTCTGTTATTGTAATTAAATACCTGAAATAATCAACTTATAAAGAGATAAGGTTTATTTTGGCTCACAGTTTTAGAGGTTTCAGTTCATGGTCAGTTGGCCCTGCTGCTTTTAGGCCTGGGGCAAGGCAGCACATCATCGCAGGGACCCTGTGGAGAACAAAGTTCCTCCCCTTGTGGCTGATATGCAAAAAAGAGAAAGAGGAGAGGAGGTTGGGGTCCCACATCTCCCTTCAAGGACATACCCCCAATAACTTAAACTCTCCCACTATGTCCCAGTCGTACCTTAGGGGTGGTATGAAATGGGTAGCTTCATTGAAAGAGAATTTGGATGTGATCATCTCTTAAGAGCTGTCCTGACTGTGAGATTCTCCACGTTCTTATTCAGTGAAATTCCCACACCAATACATACGTAAAATAGTTACACAGATTGCAGTTAGTAGGCTAGATAGTTCAGACAAAATATCGAACACATACCTTCATTTAAACTCCACCAACTATAGTTATTTAAGATTGTTCCCCCATTCATTCTGAAAATCAGGATCCCACCGTTCCCCTAGTGTTGAAGATTGAACACAGGAGAAATGCCAAAGAAGAGCAAAACATTTTATTTAAAGGATAGAACAGAGACACAGAGAGAGAGGCTCCTCCAGAGAGGAGGGGGACCCGAGCTGGTGCCCCAGGGAGTGGGGGTGTCTAGCCCCTTCTATAGATTTTAGGTTTCCTTTCTTCTCATGCCCCCTCTTCCTCCTATCTTGCCTACCTGACCAAAAGGGCCAGGGGGTACCTCTCCCTATTTTTCATATCTGCCCAGAAAGACAGGAAGGGAGCCACCCAGGGGGTACTCCTTAAGAACTCCATATTGGGAGGAACAGTTCCCTGGAGGCAGGTGACCTTGGCAACAGGTGAGGGGGAGGGGGAGGTGGTCTGGAGGTATTAGCATTTTATTTCTTTTTGAATCAGCCTCCATCTTCCCTACCCAATCAATGATTCATCATCTACACTGACCATCCTTCTGCCCCGTCTCAATTCCAACATTCCCTTAAACAAAATATAGTAGGTATACGGTAATAAAATAACTTCACCATAGCCATGAGGGGTTTATCAGAGTAAAAGTAGAGAATAAAATGTAAATATTATGAGAAATGTGTGGATCTCAGATCTTGTATCTTGTCAAGAGATTCACTGCCTAGAACAACTCTTTAGAAAGAAAAGAAAAAAAAAGAAGAATTTCAGGGTGTATAATTTCACTTTCTGAATTAAGGGCTAAAAGTCAGAAAGTCCAAATTTTTGAACCAGTCTTTGTACCATCTAAATAAAGAAAGCTTTTAATTTTCCAAAAGTTAAAAGCTACCAATGACATTTTTCTATACTTTAAAAAATCTGCTAATGGTTTATGATATACATCTCCATTTAATCTGTTTCTGCTCGATATTTTCATAGTTTTATATATGTCAATATGTTCTTACTTTGACATGGTCTCTTGTAGCATAAACTCTGAGAGAGAAAGAGATTTCTATTTCATAGGATAAGGTCATGCCACAAGATATTTGGGGAGTCTTAATCTATAGCAAATGGTGCTTTGGTTCAGTGTTATTGTGTTCTGTCTTAAACTGCAACTAAGAGTGCTTTTTGATCTCATTCACAGAGTTATTGGGATGATTAAGACAACTAGGACAAGACACTGGCACAGTGTCTAGCAATCAGTAACTTTCCCTTAAATATCAGTTCTAGGACTAATATTAAAACCAGTATTAAGCGTCATTACTTACACTTAAAATTAAATCTGCAAAGTTCTAAGATCCTTACCCCTACATCTATGTGGTGAGAGCTGACAGAGCACAGAAGTTAAAGCACAAGGATTAGAGGCCAACAGTTGAATGAAGAGTTTGCTCCTTGGCTCTTAGTAGCTGTGTGATGTCAGATAAGTGGTCTAACTCCCTGATCTTCACTTATCATAAGAGTTATCCACAGGGCCATTAGAGATAGCACCTAATGTGATACCTGGCGCATAGGAAGCATTTGATAATTAGTGGTAATAAATCTGTGTGTGTGTGTGTGTGTGTGTGTGTGTGTGTGTGGTGCTGGGGATTGAACCTATGGCCTTGTGCATGTGTGGCAAGCACTCCACCAACTGAGCTCTATCCCTAGCCCCAGCAGTAATAGTAAATCTAAGGAGAGCTTCAGTTCCATGTTGCCTCATCTCTAAGGATTCTTTTTAAGAACCTGCCATTCTATACATAACTCTTATTTTTATCTAATAATTTGCATTTATTTCCTATATACTTACATACATATTCATGTAATGCCTCTATTACTAAATATTCACACAAAATTTAAATGTCCTGTTGAGAAAAGTACCCAAATTTGAAAGAAAAGTTTAAAAAAATGGCAAATTCTTTCACTCTCATATGGTTGAAGATACACCCAAAAGATGACCTAGGGGGATGTCATTTTTTAATTTACTACTTAATATTAATTAAAGATCCCAGACTTAGTAACATTGCCTAAACATATAGGTTTTTGTCTAGTAAAAATGCAAATAATGCCTCTGTTGTGGAATGGATACTCCCAAAGTTCATGGTTGCTGTGGTTTGGATTTGTCCTCCACATTGCATGTATTAGAAATTGTAAAAAATAAATTAAAAAAAAAAGAAATGTAATTCCCAAAGTCATATGTAGATGGAGTTTGGAAGTGGGACCAGGGAAAGGTCATTGGGACCAGATGAAGTCATGAAAGTAGGATCCCCATGATGGCATTAGTGGCATTATGAGGAGAGGAAGAGAGACCCAAGCTTGCAAGCTTGCTCAGTCTGGCACATGATGTCCTCAGCCACATCACAACCCAGCAAGAAGGCTCTTGCCAGATGCCAAGCAGATGCTGATGCATGCTCTTGGATTTCCAGAACCACAAGCTTAATTCATCTCTTCTCTTTGCAAACTGCCCAGTCCATGGTGTCCAGTTATTGCAACAGAAAACAGATTAGGACAATTGCCCTGTAGGATATGAACTAGATGTTTCTGTATCTCATCCTACCATTTCGGTATTAAATTGCTTATAAACACCTAAGTCCTTAAATGCCTTTTAAATCATTTCAAATTTACTGATTCCCTCTTCAGTAAATCAACTGAATAAATTTTGACATGTTCATTTTGCATTTGCATGCAAGTCATGGTTTTAATTTTCTGAAAATTATGTGAGCAGCCCTCAGAAAGCTTACGAGGAAAAATAATTACCATTTTACAAAATGCAAGACCGTTCGCCAATGTGAATTATTGTTCTCTAATCATCAGTTGCCTCAATTTTTTTTCTATCTGTTTTCTTCTACCTGGGCATTCTAGTGTTGAGGCCACTGGCACAAGTAAGGACATCTACCACTTGCTGTAGCAAGAAAACCTGGCAGAAGTTTCTAAATTCTCTTTTACTATTGCATTAGCAATGAATTCAGAATCACTGTAATTCAGAATCGGCTTCCCTTTCTTTGCTCATTCCAAACTTTGTTAATGGTCTGGGAGATAAAGCTCATGCTGTCACACGCAGAGAATATCTGGCTAGTTTCACACTTATGAGTTGCAGTTTCACTCCTATTTTCCTGCCAGTAGGAGAGCATAAACAACAAAGCTGGTCTCCAAAGCAGCAGACTCGTTGGTTTAAACTGTCTTGCACCTTGTTAATACAGAATACTCATCAACCCAGAGATCATTTGGCAATATGAAGTCAAATTTCTGCTTAATTCATGAATACTATAAGCCATGCAAATTATCATGGGTTTGCACACTCAAGCTTAGAAATAAAGTGTAGGTAATTCTGATTTGAATTTTAAATTGTTTGGCTAATTCACAATCTAATGAATTCCACATTCCCAAGGACAAAATAGTTAAGGTATGTGATGAATTCAGTAAGTTCAAATAGAAAAAAAAACAGAAAAGATATCAAAGGGGGGAGTTATTCCTCTTGATAGCAGGATTCTGTACTGTAGAAAGACCTTTTAAGGATCAAAACTCCTGTGCACTACAAACTTACCCATTTCCCCTTTATTTTTTCTCCTCTTTTTTCCAATGCAATTTTCATCCCTGTGGCCAAATGAACAAAACTCTGGTGATACTGGTGTGTGCTTTCAGAGAAAACCACTCATCTTGGATAGGTTTTCCAAGGAACAAAGGACTGTCCTAATGGAACTCTAAGACTCTATCAGGTTTTATTCTATAATTTCTGGATGACTTTTTGAGAGGATAAATTGTATAAAGTAATACATTCTTAAAGTACTGCAAGGAAAATAAATACCAGAATATGTCCATGGAGAGCTCTTTGACTTAAGGAGAAAGGACTATCCCCACGATAGATCTTCTCATGCTGGTAGCTTGTTTTGTCTAAGGAAACAAAATGGGTGGAAAAAAAGAAGCAAGTTTTAGTGGTCCCTATAAAAGTTTTACGAATAACTGGTTGTTTTCATGTAGGCCTGTCACTTTTCCTCTGAAAATGAAGACTCAGACCAATTCTCCCTGTCAGCATTAATTTTCATTGTCTATTGGTTAAAAAAAAAAAAAAAGATGTTTAGTTAGTTGTATGTTCCATTTATTGGCACTGAAAACAGACATTATGATCAAATTTATCTCTGATGCTTACAAGCTGTGAGATTTGTGTAAGTCATAAAAACTTGTAGAGACTCGGCTTCCTTATCTATAAAATAAGAACAAAGATGCTACTTAGAATATATATTTTCAAGGTTAAATAATCAAGTATACTTAAAATGTCTGATATGTCAAATAGTAGTATGCACTCTTCACTCAATAAGTAACAGTTGTTTTTATTTTTCAGGCATTGTGTGATAACATTCCTAAATGGAATGTTGTATTTTTGCATAGTTTGAAGACTCTATCTTCAAACCTATGTGTGCTCCTTTTGATTCTGTGCTATCTTGCACCTGTCTAGAATTCAAATGAGATTTTGGATTTCACAATAATTCTGTCTCATGATTATATAAAGATTAACTATAATATTTGTCATCTTTTACTACCCTGGAAATAGAAAAGACTACATACCAGTCTGAACCTTTTCTTTTCTTCCAGAACTGGAGGTGAAATCCAGAGCATTGCACTTACTAGGTAAATGTTTTACCACTGAGCTATATTCCAACCTGAGTTTTTATCATGTATTTAAAAAGCCAGTGAGCTAATTATTTGTATTGATTATTAGGATGACAATTAGAGAGGATTAGGGTTGAATTATTTGAAGAAAGAAGTTTCCTTAGCAAACTGTGAAGTCTCTTCAATTGTAAAACATTTTAAAATGTTTTTATAATGTCAATTAATATTAATTCAGTGATATAATATTATTTATAGACTAAAAAATATAGGTATTGTGGACTTTCAGAAGTCCATTTGAATTTCATTTTTTAAAATTTAAGAATCAAGCCTCAGATTAAAAATACAATATTTAATATAAGAACTGCCAAATTTTATAGATTATTTTTAACAACTTTGTTGTGGCATATATGAATCCCATTATTATGTATAATTATAATACACCAAATAATGTTTATGGTGACTATTATCCAACTAATAAACAATTCTAAGCTTATTATCAGAAATATTAGTTATTTATATACTTATTTCCATTTAATAATGTATAAGTAATTTAGTACTGTACAATGCCTAAGTCTAATCATCATAGAATTTATTATCATTGTGGGAAAAACAACAACAACAACAACAACATCTCTTTAATGCAGGTGTCCAAAGGACACTTAGATATGAAAATAAAATAAATCTCCAAAGTTATAAAAGCAGAAGTAAAAATAAAGACATTATAATTTGTTACACATCTACCTCTTACTGAACACTAATATGGGTCAGATATTAAGTATATAAGCATTTACTTTAATATTTCCAACATTGATTTGAAAACCACAAAAGGTACGAGTTAGTTTCCATATTTAGCGGACAAGGTAATGGGACCAGAAAGTTCAGCGACTTGCCTGCAGCTGCAGAGTTTTCAGATAACAAAGCTAAAGTATATGCTCCTGCCAGGATGTCGCAATCCTCATGCACAGATTACAGTCAAGTTCTAGAAACCTCTCGTCTTCATTTCCACTCACTCTGCTTATCACAAGCTGTGTCCACCAGCTCATTCCAAGAGAAGGAGGGGGGAGGAGAGACAGCCAGATGGCTCCAGCTCATTTAGCCAGCTGTAGCAGGATATGGATGTGATTTCCCCACCATCCCAAATAGTGTCGTGGTCTTATTCCAGAGATACGAGTACAGAGTACAAAGCTCTTCATGTGTTCCACATTCCAGGTCCTGGAACCATCAACATTTGCAGTCAGCACTGCCATCAAAGAAACCTCAGAGAGGAAAAGCAAATCAGCACAGTTATTTTTTTTTGAGGGGTGGGAATGTGCTGGGTTTGAATCCAGGACCTTGCACATGCTAAATGGGTGCTCTACAGCTAAATATACCCCGACAGCATCATCCCAATTTTAAAATATCTATCCACTTATTCAACTTTCTGTGTACAGCAGCACCTTCCTTTAATGGAGTGTCATGGAGGCCCGAACGGGAGAAAGGAAAGATTGGGATGGAACAAGCATCACCCTAAAGAACAGGTTAAAGTTAGGCTTTGGTTTTGATTTGATAAGGGAGCTACTGAGGATTTTAGGACAGGACATAATTAGCCTCAGCCTGTGCTTAATCTTGGGGGTGAGACTACAGCTGGGGAGTCAGGCTGGAGGAGACACAGAAGCAATGAATATGTGGTGACTCCCGGGAGTAGGGATAGGGTTCTGCATTTGAGTGGATGTAGATTCCAAGCCCTGGAAAGTGGTGGCACTTTGTCAGTTGGACTAGAGGAAAAAGGGCAGAGCTCCAATCTCTAGTATGGGGAGAAATGCAAATTAAAACCAATATGAGATTTCCATCTTGTATCCATTAGGATAGTGATTATCAAAAATCAAGGGATAATAAAAGTTGGTGATGGTGTGGATAATACGGAGTCCTTATACACTCTTGGTGGGAATGTAGATAATGTAACCATTATGGAAAACAGGATGGCTTTAATGGTATGGAGATTCCTAAAGAAATTAAAAACAAAACTACCACACGACCCAGCAATCTCTCTTCTGGGTGTAGACCCACAGGAGATGAAAGTACCACCTCATAAAGATTAGATTCTCAAGTTCATGGCAGCATTGTTCATAATAGCTATGATGTGGAAACAATCTAAGTGGCTATTGCTGGACAAATGGACAAAGAAACTGTGAGATAAGTACACACACACACACACACACACATACACATCATGGAATATTGCTCAGCCCTGTAAAGGAGATCCTAACTCTGCAACACAACATGAATGAGCCTGGAGGACATTACATAAGCCAGACAGGGAGAAAAAAAAAAAAAAAACATTGCACAATCTCACTTTTATGTTGAATCTTTTTTAAAAAAAATCAAATATTCAGAGAGAGAGAGAGAGAGCACAAAATAGTGGTTACCTGGGGGTAGTAAAGGGGGAGGAAATAGGGAGAGATAGTTGGAGCAGATTTGTAGAATGAATGAGTCTAGAGATGTAATGTAAACATGCAGACTATAGTTCATGAAATTGTATGGTAATTGGGATTTTTGTTAAATAATTGGGTTTTAGCTATTCTTGTCATTAAAAAAGTAATCATGTGAGATGATATATATTTAATTTGCTTCACTATAGTAATCATTTTACTGTCTATAAGCCCATCATGTTGGAAACCTCAAATATACACAAAAACTTTTTTTTAAAGAGAGAAAGAGAGAGAGAATTTTTTTTTTAATATTTATTTTTTAGTTTTCAGCAGACACAACATCTTTGTTTGTATGTGGTGCTGAGGATCGAACCCGGGCCGCACGCATGCCAGGCGAGTGCGCTACGACTTGAGCCACATCCCCAGCCCCTACAAAAACTTTTTTTAAAAAATCCTATATACACTCAATTTTTAAGTCACCAAGTAGTTGATATCTGGAAAAGTCTCAGATAATGTTTAAGAATAAAGTTTTCAAAAGAGCAATCTTCAATACTCAAATAAAACTGTCCCAATACTCAATAGGAATATGTGAAATGTAGCTGAAATTTTCTTAAGGACAGCTCAACAGAGCACATTTGAAATCGGTGATGAGATTTCGCTCATTATCCCGTGTTTACATGCTTAATAATTTGAGAGTCCATGGGAAGGCACGTCAGCATTCATTCATTTATCCACCAAACATTTAATAAAAACCTATGAGCCAGGCACAATGCTTGGGTACCAGGAATGGAAATAAACAAGATGTGGCCTCGAGGGACTTAAGGTATAGTGGACCAGACAGTCATTCCTCCAGCAAGTATTTATTGTTACTCATCTTTGTTTTGAGTGCCAGTAATACAAGAGTGAAAAAAAAAAAAAGCAAAATCTCTCTTTGGAGAGCCCACATTAGAGAAGACAGTCAATATATGAGATAAATAGAGAAAACACACAGTACATGGGCTGGGGCTAAGAAAATGAAACAAAGCAGTGAAGCAGGATTGAGGTGCTGCAATTTTAAATGGAGTGGCCAGGAAAGCAGCATGAATTTTGAATAAGGGAGCACACCACGTGGCTGTCCGGAAGGAGGGCGTTCCAAAAAGCCTGAACAGTAATCTAAAGGCTTCTCTGAACCAAGACTATCAAAAAGGCCAAGTGGCTACAGCAATGGAGGCAGGTGATAGAGGAGATGAGGTTGAAGAGCTAACACAGGCCATTCAGATTGGGTCCCGATGGCCACCATAAGGACTTCTTACAGAGGATTGATGGTAACCTGACTTGCATCCTAAAAGAATCAGCCTAGTTGCTATGAATAATGGAAATGACAAGAAGTTGTCAGTTCTCCTGTGTTTTTAAGGTAGAGTCAGTCACCTGTACTTGCTGTTAAACATGGGGAAAAAAAAGAGGTCAAGGATAATATGTAAATAATGAAAAGAATCAAATACTACTGGCTTCACTAACTAAATTCTGTAAACTAAGCCTCACGCACGGAGATCACTTAGATCTCCAGCACATCAGAACCACCCTTGTAGGACTTCGTGCTGGAGCTACATGATCTATAATTTGCACAGAACACTGCTGTATACCCAGTGGCTGTCACACAGTGTTTCCATGTTGCACTGAGGAAACTCAGGAAGTGAATAATGGGACTTTATAGTTGTTACCTGTCTGCTTTTCTTGGATCACATTAAACCACATTTCTTACAGCTCTCCCCAGTGTTCTGAAGTTGCAAGTTCTGGACCCTTTTACATCCACCCATTTGAGTGTACAGAAGGAAAGGCAAGATTCACTCGCAAGGTTCCTCTTTGGCTCCTTCTATACTAGCGTTAACCCAAAA